TAAATGCTTAGATTGGTGAGTCCTCACGGAGTCACGGTTCGAGAACAATGTCATTGATGCTTTGTTGCTTTTAATGTCTTTCAGTTTAAACTTCTGCGTGGTGTATGGGTTACGTCTCAACTACTCATATGTTGTTAGAAAGGCTATGTCAGATAAAATTTAGATTTCTGCATTTATGTTTCTGTCTTGTACTCACTTTAGATTTTTCTATATGATCTAATCTTTACTTTGAGAGTTCATGCTTTTATGTTGTACTTTATAGTATATCATCTTTTTTACGTCATTCTTATGTCAAGTGGATTGCTTAGGTCCTCTCGGGATTCTATTCACCATGTCACACGTAGGGGGTACTTTGAGTCATGACAAACTTGGTATTCAGAGCATCGGGTTTATAGAAATGTCATATGATGTCTGATAAGTCGTGTTGAGTAGATTTTTGTTCATGAATGTGAAGCGCACCACATTTATGAATAAGAGGCCACAAGGCGTTTAGGAAACTTCACTTCCTTCACTACTCTAAAGTCGTGTCATGGAGTTCATCTATATAAATGTCTTTCTCCTAGCTCTTATTTTATGCTTTTAAGGATATGTCTCCTCAAGGAACTAACACAAGAAGGAATATAGGTGACAATGTGGAGCCCGAGGTTTCTCAAGTGTCGGTCGATCCTTTGGCCTAGCAAGCGTCACATGCTGAGTTTTGAGCATCTTAGTTTTGCTTCCCTTATCTTGTCCACCACAGAGGTCACTCCTACTCTTAACCTTATTTTTAATATTGTCGATCCTAGTATGCTCACACATTCATCTTAACATCATCATTTCCACAACATGCATCTTTTAAACATAAGAGATCTTGACTGGCCAACAGTTCATTCCATACAACAAAGACGGTTTAACCACCACTCAATAAAATTTACCTTTAAGTTTGAGTGGTTTCTTCTTATCGCATAAGAATCTATAGGCAAGCCTCTATTTCATCCATGCGATGTGTGACGTCATCATTGATGTCCTCACTATCTTGGATTACAGACCAAAGATACTTAAAACTTTTTCTCTTAGGGATAGTGTGTGTGGCAAGTCTTACTTCCATGTTGGCTTCAACCAACATAACACTAAATTTGCACTCCAAATATTTCGGATTTTTTTAATCAACCTTAACCCTTTAAACTCTAAAGTTTATCGTCAAACCTCCAACCTAACATTAACTCTATCTCGTGTCTCATCAATTAGTACTACGGCATCCACAAATTACATACACCATGAAATCTCCTCCTGAATAAACTGTATCAACTCATTCCATCACCAAAAAAAATAGAAAAGGGGTAAGAACGTAACAGATCCTTGATGTAGCTCCATCTCAATTTAAAAGTGCTCAGAATCTCCTTCCATCTTCCTAACCCAAATCTTTGCCTCATCATACATATCCTGTTATCATCCTAATATAAACCATCGAGACACCTTACAACAAAGACAAAGTATTTAAAATGGAGAAATAATAATAAGGAATTTCTTCAAGTATCAGTATCACTACGCGCGCAACACAAGGAGATTTCTCAAGTATTCGTATCACTACGCAACACAAAAGGAGATTTCCTCAAGATTAGAAAGGACTTGGGAGAGGGGGGGGGGGGGGGCACAATTTGATATTTGATGGGGTTTCAACTTGATAATCAATAAATAGCTAGTGTATAATCAACCATAGCATGGATAGAATTTTTGTAATAACTATATTCAAAATTCTCTCGACCCAATGAATATATGTGTCTTTGATATTTCCGAACTCCAACACCTTGCTATTCAAAACACCAAACATTTTGAGTGGGTATATACTATCTCTAGTTCTAACCTTTAAAGGAGAATTTAATTGGATTTAGACAATCTCTAGATCTAATCCAATGATTAAATCTCAAGTCCTCACTATTAAAGTTTTATCCAATTTCACTTATCTTTTCCAAGTAAAAGTGACATTAGAGATATCAATCAATGTTTGCAATCATAATTTTTAGATTAAACCTCAAAAAGAATAACTGATCTATGCATAATAATCACAATTTTAAGACTATTTAATCACTATCCAATCAAATTTACATGCTCATCATGTGCACACCCCTAGATAAAAGTTTAACTACTCATAATAATGGAAATAAAAATTATACCAAAATAGTAACACTTCATTGCATTCATATTCAACGACCAAAATCATATCCAAGTTTGAATATATCCACCAATGGTGTTTTCTTCTTGAATAAGCAAAGGAAAAAGTACTACCTCTCTACTACTTGATTCTACAATGTCTAATATTTCTAATATCTCAATTGAAAAGAAGAATAAAGTACACAATTGGATACATCCCTAAACTGGCCTAGTAATTCACAAAATTACTAGCATCATGAGAATTACTACATCACAGAATTGAAAACATCAAGGAATTCATACTAGTCCCCTACATACTACAATTTTTTTCTTTATATTTGTAGCTTTCAAGCTAAGGCATAAAGATACACTTATCAATTAGAGGAGCAGAAGAAAATGATGGTGTCCATGTTGTTTCACTTTCCTCAATCGACTAGGTTTCCTAATTCATGATTGTCTGAAGGATGAAGCTAGTCAACAGAATATATTGTTTTGTGTTGTAGCCTCTATTGTTATAATGAAAACACAGTGACAGATCTAGGAGTTTAGGTCGTGGGTACTCTAAAAGTGGCGGAGTCAAGAATATAAAAAAGACATGTTAAAAGTGAGATTCAAACTCATGCTCAGCAACACTAAAAGAGCCTTAAACACCCACTCAAGAGCCAATGGACTAATAAAATCATTTGTTCACTAGGTGTTCTATGTTAATTTTATACAATTATCTCTTAATTTCTACACACATATATATATATATATATATATATATATATATATATATATATATATATATATATATATTTTGAGACAAAGCTAATGGGTGCTCGAGCACCCGGAGGACTCTATGTGGATCTGCCCCTGTAAATAAAGTGTTTGGATAGATTGTATAGTTCATTGTCGTTACATAATATCACACATCCATTATTTGAATGATTGAGTAAAGCTAATATAAAAAGGTAGGATTAAAGATGAAAAATGATTATTAAATATAATAAATAAAGACAAAATGAGAAGAAAATATTGAGGTCATAACACGATCACATCAAATCGGTCATTACATAAAATGAGTCTTTTCGTCGTTATCTAACGATTTTAAATTTAAATAATACGATACAATATAATTAAAATAACAATCAAACAAACATTGTATTTTAATCTAACAATACAATAACGGGTAACAATCATCCAAACAAGGTGTTAGTTGGGCCAGGCCTCTTTTCATAATTTTTGATTTATTTCTTAAAAAGAAAAACCATGTGAATTGTGTGTGAGAGAGATTAATAGAGATGAATGAGATCTAACTATTCCTTTGTCCATTTTAATTGTCATGTTGCGATTTTCAAAAGTCAATTTAACTAATTTTTAAAGATAAATTAAATTACATTAATTCGATATTTTAAAAATAATAATTAGATATTAAAAAATTATACGAAAAATATTATAAATTTCAACTTTTTGCATATCAATATGATGAAAAAATACATCGTGTAAAATGTTTATCAAAAACTATGATAATTAAAAGTGAACGAAGACAATATTATATATTTTTTTAGCTAAACAACAACATTAAAGAGTATTCACTGCCATCAATCCTCAACCATTAGTAGCCCACATACTTAGACTTAAGGCTTAAGTCATCTGCGGACCCTTAAAGTTGTCCACATATTTCACTTGAACACCTCAACAGAGACTTGTACCTATTGAACACCTCTACGAGTTTGAATTGATACCACTTGAACACTTTTTGCCTACATGGCACTTTAAGTGTGATTCACCGATGCTGAGCGCGTGAAAACATATAATTAGACATTTTCTAATTTTTTTAAAAAAAATCTCTTTCTTCTTCCTTGGGTTGGTTACCATTACTTTCTCCGGCAGCCGTCATCGCCGCCGCAATCATACACCCTTCTTCTTTCATTTTTTTCTCTAGGCACTTCACTTTCTTTACCATCACGATCATTTTATTTTTTCAAATTTTTCATTATCGCCGCCTGCACATTCATCTCTCCTCCTCATTTAAACAACCACTATTATCTATGCCATTAACGCCGCTGCTTAGTCGTTGTTTTCTCTTTAGATCTAGAATAACTTGGTCGTGTTTTTTTCTTCAGATTTAGGATGACTTGGTCGTGTTTTTTATTCTTTAAATCTAGGACTGAATTAATCTACGGAACATTATTTTACTCTCAAAATTTTATTTCTTTTTTTAAAAAAATATTTTTGAATCTAAAACTTCCATGTTTATTTAAGTTAAAGAACAAGGAAAAAAAGAAAGAGAAAAATGTCGTCGATGGTGGTCAGCAATTCGATGGGTAGAAGGGAAATAATTTGAGTGGGTGAAATGTATAACAATGTTTATTTTTTAATCTCAATAAGCAACATTGTTCAATCCAAAGAAGAAGAAAATTAGAGAACAAGAAATAATAGGATGGATGGTTCCGATGGACAGTAGGGGAAGAGTGATTAGTGGGTGGGTGGGTGAGTTGTATAAGGGTTCACATAATAATTATTTTTTAATCTCAAAATATATTTTTTCTTTACCTTATTTTTTTAATAATATTTTTGACCCACATGACATATGTCATAATTTAATTTGTTATTGTGCCATGTCATCGAGAGTGTATCTCACTCACTTAATATTTGGGGCTGATTATTAAAAAAATGTCAAATAGGTGTTCAATAGGTACAAGTCTCAGTTGAGGTGTTCAAGTGAAATATGCGGACAACTTTAAGTGGCAGCAGATGACTTAAGCCTAGACTTAAATAAATAATAATTAAAAAAAAAAACCAACAACCAGCAATACTCCCACCTCATTTGCCTGAATTTCTCCAACTTCACCCATTTCTAATTTCAATCCTGAAAAGTAAAAAAGAAACAAAAATATCCTATCATTTTGTTCACGAAACACGAAGCTAACAAATCAACACAGTAAACTAGGGTTCCCAAATTCCCTCTTCTTTCTCCCGGTATTTTCCGATACTTCTCCTAATTTTCTGCATATCTTCTTCGGAATATCATTTCACCTCGTTTTATCAGCTTCATCCCTTCAAATTCTGCATATCTTCCGTTCTCAATTACGATTTTTTTCTATCTTTGACTTAATCCATTTTAATCATTTTCTTAATTTTTTTTTACAGGATTTCGTATTTGAGAGAAAAGGGAAGATTTGTGCATATCTATTTGAAAGAGAGAGGAATTTGCATATCATTAATTGCGGTTTATGGGTGTTTTGGTTTGTGATTTTTTATTTATTTTTTTCAATTTATGGGTTATTCCTAATTTAGGGTTTTGAGGAGTTTATTGGATTGTGTTAGTCGATGGATTCTGAAAGTATGATCCCGTCTACCAGCGTGGTCAAATGTTGTGATTGCGAGTGCAATTGCTCCATAACGAATAGTTCCTTTTCGGGGAATTGGATACGGACTGTGAAGCGGAAATTTGATGAATATGATGAGATTGAGAAGAAATTTGTGATCCCAGGTTTAATTTTGCCGCAAACGGCTCGTATAGATATGGGAAATGAGTGTATTGCTTTAAGGGAAATGGTTTGTGGACAACAGGAAACGATTCAGGAATTGAGTGTTGAGTTGGAGGAAGAGAGGGAAGCGGCATCCTCAGCTGCTAATGAAGCAATGTCGATGATTTTGAGGTTGCAAAGGGAAAAAGCTGAGTCACAAATGGAATTTAGGCAATTCAAAATGTTTACGGAGGAGAAAATGGCTCATGATCAGCAAGAGATAATGGCGTTGGAGGATTTTTTGTATAAGAGGGAGCAAGTGATTCAGTCGTTGACTTGTGAGGTGCAAATGTATAAGCACAGGATGTTGAGTTATGGGCTATTGGAGTCTGAGGTCGAGTATGATGGTGAGAAAGAGAATGGTCATTTTTGCCGGAACAATAGTGTAGGTGAGAGTTCCGATGGCCGCTTTGACATTCCTTCTTATGATTACCCTCCCTTGAAGTGCACTATAAATGAGAACCAAGTGAATACTGAGGTTGATGATGAGGTTGTCGATGTTGAGAAATATGCATTTGGGGAAGCCCCACGATCATGTGATCATTTGCGATATCTGGAGAAGAGGATCAATCAGTTGGAAACAACACCAAGTAGTCGGACTGATGAAGAAGTATTTAACAACAATATCCTTGAAAAAGCAATAGTTGCTCAGTCTCCTTTTGTACCAAATAAAGAAATATGCTCAGATTTCTTCTCAGGTTCTCCGAAGTTTAACGGAAGTGTTAGAAAAGCAGAAAATTCGCAAACAGAGGAGTATGCAAACTTGAGGAAGGTGGATGAGTCATCGGATGTTGGGGATGAAATGAGTGACAGGGTTTATACAATTGACTCTATACATCAGGGTGCTGGATATAATGGTAACTCAGAGACCAAGGGTTCTGTCCATACCCCAATAGATTCCCTAAATCATACAGATTTTGGAGATCCTGAGGTCACAAAGCTTTACCTTAGGCTGCAGGCCCTTGAGGCTGATCGGGAATCAATGAGGCAGGCTATCATTTCCATGCGGACTGACAAAGCACAGCTGATATTGCTTAAAGAAATTGCTCAGCAGTTGTGCAAAGAAGCGTCTCCAGAAAGGAGGACACCTGTGAGGAAGACATCTGTAATCAAGAGCTTTTCTTTCATCTCCATATTCAAGGTATGATGTTATCTGTGATCCTACATTTTTGTGCTCAATAAATTCATTTTCACATATCAAAGTATGTTGTGCATATGAGCTTTGTCCTAGATCATTGCAAACCATGATAGGAACAACCGTTGTATCATGATACAACTGTTACTAATTTTTCTGGAATGAACACTGTAATTTCTGGAGACGCTTCCATTTTCCTGTATGCTGAGCCACTTTATATTACAAGCATTACCTCTTGTTTAGCTTCCTTGATTTCCATTTCTTTGAACCACTACATCTCATCTAGTTTGTTTACAATCCCATGACAGTGACAATTTTGACCAGAACTCATCTTATGTCTCTTCAAATTAGTTTTACCAATTTTGTTTCTATATTTCTTATATGATAACAAAATATAAATGCCAAACTATTGTCCCTGTATATGAAGTCAAGTATTTGTAAAATAAAATAGTTCAGTTTACTTGCCATTATGGCTTGACCTCTCGGGCTAGGAATGCTAATCAATGAGTACTGTTTGTTATTTAGCGTACTTTGTTTTATGCATATTTTCGGGATTGTTCCACTTCTGTACTTCAATCGACTACAGTAATGTTTTTCCGGTTTGCTGATGCTATGACTATTCTCTGTGAGGATCGGTCTTGTATTTGTTTGTTTCCTACTGGTTGAGGCTTTGGAAGAATGCAAACTCTCAAAATTTTAGTTGTCAACTTATTCTGCAGTTTTTGTGAGTGTATAATAGGATGAGCCTTTCTGGACATAGAATACAACTAGTACGCCTCTATCCAAGCTAGTTGGAATCGCCATATGAATCCTTACTATCAATGTTGCTCCATTTAGTCTGTATTCAATATTGTGAGTATTGATCATAAATAGACCCATTTTACGATGGCTTTATACGTACTGCTACTCTCCTCCTTCATCCGCGTTTGGGGTTGAAATTGTGGGCAAATTCACACTGTATTCAGTTTTTCAGAAAATAAAATGATGAGTAAAATATTTTTCTGGTTCGCAAGCTGTGGGAAAATCTAGAGTTGGGTTGATAATAGCCCTTGCATTACCTCCATTTGGCGTGAGCCGTGGAATATTTTTGCTTCATTGGGTTGGCTAGAATTGGTATGGCTAATAGCTAGTCTATTTAGGAAAAGTTTGGTTTGTATATTTGAATAAAATATTGAACTTTTTGGAATCATCAAATATATTGACCTCCTAAAGCTTATGTTTAAGTAAGATATTGAGCCTATCCAAGAATAGGAAGAACTCAATGTGAACATGAATTTTGGGTGGAACAACATACCGAGTTATATGAAATCTGCTATTGGGATTACTTTTGACCTCAATTTGAGATCTTGATGTCTTATTACATGCTGCTCTTTTGTTGATGTACCTAATTGCTTTCTCCAGTTTGACTTGTATGTTTGTCTGACATCTCCCTTCACTGGTTATTTTGGAGGGGTAAATATTGATTTTAAGGAGAGTAAAGATTTTGGATCAGAAGATTATAGATATAAACTTTTGTATCTTAATTTTTATTTCCCTGAACTTTGTTTATTCTGATACCCTTTTCTTTCTGTGTGGGATGGAGAGAGAGCATAGAAAATCTATTTTTGCCTTTTGGTATCAAAGTTTTCCCAACCTTGCTCCCTGCCCTTGAACTCCAATTATTTCTTTTGGCTCTCCTCATGTTTTCTGGTACATAATTGCTGATATCTTATCTGTTTTTCCTGTTCAGTGGATAATGTCCTTTGTCTTGTGGAGAAGGAAAGCACATCGATGCAAGTGAGTTTTAATCATTAGAAAGCTATTACTATTTTATGTAGTTGCTTTTACTGTATTTCTTCCAAAGGACAATCTGTTATCTCATTTTGCCTGCTGCCAGTTCTAGTTTGAGTCAGTTGAGTTTTGCACTGAAATAATCAATATACTTGTTTAGGTACTTGTTTGGTTTGACAGCCAACAGGGTGGGCTTGCTTATGCTGTTAGACAAGGGACCTCGTGTTGGGCAATGGAGATGTCTTTCAAGTACGCAAGTGTGAAACCAATACTCATTGGTCCACACTCCACAGCGACTTCCGCATCTCTTATGCTTATCGGCATGAATGCAGAGCGGATTTTAGTCAGATTAGTTGCTTTTGGATGTTCATTCATTTGTTCTCGCCCTATATGCCTTGCTGCTGCTAATTTGGGTACTGGATTACTTTGTGCGTTGTTCTTTTCACTTGATTGTTGGAATTGAATACATCTTGATGAAACATTCGGTAGTTGTTTCTCAGCCATCTAGAACTTGAATCTTATGGCTTGGTGGAATTTTACTTTAGGTTAGTTACTTTTGTATATTGTAGATTTGTGAATAATCTTTTTGGGGGCTCCTCACAATACAAAATGAGTGCTTTGTTTGGGATTGAAATGTAGTTGATTGATTGATTGAATAGAATGAGTGCAGTTTTGCACGTTTTTAAGTACGTCTTCTTTTCATCTTAACTTGCTCGAGATAGTTTCAAGAATTTATTTGCACGGCAGCGCGAGGAGTTCCTACCAGGTATGATATTTAATATTTGTTCTCTTTTATGAACTTCGGCGAAAATAAGACTCTTTTTGTTTTATTTACACAGTAATTGACTTTTTTGCCTTTCCATTCCCCTGCCTTTTTCCAACTCCTTTTTATGCCACTCTTTTCGCAATGACCTTTGATTCTTACTCTCCTTGCGCACTGTTTGTTTTATGTCAACCAGAGTTAGGAAACTATCTTGTTATATTCTAGTTTTTTTTTATGTTAATAGATGCATAATCTTGATATCTTAGTGATGTCATTATACATTGAGGCGCATTTTAGCGTGCATAAGTTGCACAGACATCCCAAAACTCTACATACATAGTTTGAGATATTCCTAGAGGTACTGGAATTTGATCTATCTAGTTCTAGTTGCATAGCCCAAAAGGGCAGGGGTATATAGATTGGCAATATTATCAAAAGGTTCTCGGTTCATTCCTTCTTTTGCAAGCAAATCTGCAACTTGACAGTTCTTCGGAACGTGTGCAGATTCCCAGTTGCTCCATTATGAACAGAGAGTTGTTTGCCAGTGTGTTATAAGTAGGTGAAGATTGCAGTATTAATTTTATGGCTTCAGTTCAGTCTGTTTTCATTTCCAATGAATATAAACAATGCACATTAGCAGTCTTGACTCTTCTTGATGCATGTATGTATTGCTAGTAATTCTGCATGTGTGTGGTTAGTTGCAGATAGACTGTCATGGAAGCCAAGAACCCAATCTCCTCTGCCCTTTTTAAAACTCCGCCATCTCTTCTAACATCATTGTTTCCATTTGTTGCACCATTTGTTTTCAATCTATAGTAGCTAGCTCTAGTTGTGTTTTATTAAAAGATAAATGTGTTTCTCCTTAGAAATTCATTACTAGTGTGTTTATGGAGATTTTATTTTGTAAGTTATGGTGATTAAAGTTCCGGGTGTGCCAGATGCAAAAAGGAAGGCTATTATGTCAGTTATAATGAGCATTATGTGTGTTATTGGGGGTGCTCCTAAGTATGCCAAGCCATTGAGATTGGCTTTGATTTGAAGAGGGTGTATTATAATATGACCCAATTTTGTCCAAAAACCAAGAAAATCTGCTCAATGGGTTCCTTTGTATTTTGTTATAACTTAATGAGTAGATTATACTGGGTTTTATGTTGATACCAATAGAATTTAGGTAAAACGTGTAAGACATCTTTTGTGGTTGCAAAGTCACGTAAATTAAACAATCTTTGCAGGAACTCTTGGCCTCGTTTGTTTTTTAATTAAGATGAAGATGTCTGAATTTAAAATATTAAGATTTGTCTCTAGATTTGAACAGAGAAAGATTTATATTGTATGTTTTTTCAACGTCTAAGTATGCATAATTTATTTATTTACAATCATAATAAATATGCAATTCAAATAAATGGTATTTCCTCTATTTAGTTTTACTTGTCATTGATTTGGCACACTCATTAAGAAAATAATTATTGATACAAGTATTTATCATACCATCCCTACTAATTAATGTTTAGTATTGGGTTTTGAAAAATTATATGGAGAATAATGTTTAATGCTAGGGGTAAAACATGGAAATGAATAATTGTCTTTTCTTGATATGCCAAAAGTGACGAGTAAAATAAAATTTTATTTTAAGAATAAGTGACAAGTAAAAGTGAACAGAGGAAGTAATTAAATATTTAAAAATAATAAATTGAATAAAATAAAATCATTATTTGAATAAAAATGAAATATTAATGGTCGCTAGTGATGGTGGAGATGGTGGTTATAATGGTGTGTTAGTAGTGGTAATAGTTGTGATGGTGGAGATGGATTTGTAATGGTGTGTTAGTAACTAATAATGGTGGAGCGGTTGGTATTGTAGCGACTGACGTGATGGTAGCGGTTGGCAGTGGTGGTGGTTCTAATGGTGACGTTGATTGATGTTAGTAGTTAGAGGTGTCAAAAATGAGCTCAACTATAGGTAACTTGTCTAACCCGCCCAGAATTTTAAGAGTTGAGCTCAAGATAATTTGAATTGAGTTCAATCTCAACTCATTCTAGTCTTAAACCATTTTAAGAGAATCATCAATTGAATTTAATTTAATTTCTAATTTCAACCCGTTTTAAAATTCTTTATTTTCATTGATGTAATGTATGTTCCTATATTGAAGATATAAATCACTATCTATTTTATATCTTTTAGGATTTGTCTATCCATTTATTTGAAATTCAAATTGTGGTTATAAAAGTTAAATAACAATATGTTAAAATTATTGAGATTAAGCGGGTCAAATTGGACGGGTCATGACCCAATCCGATTTTAGTCCATTTGAGCCCAAAGTAAACTTGGGCTAATCCAATTTCTATTTCAACCCATTCTAATATCTCAAATTTCAACCCAACCCGCCCATTTGACACCTTTATTGATGATGGTGACGATGTGTTGGTGGTAGTGGTGACGGTACTAATGGTGATGGTGGAGATGATTAGTAGTAGGATTGACCACAGTGGTCGTAGTGGCTAATAGTGATAGTGGTGATGGAGGTGATGGCAGTGCTGACATTGGATATAATTATAATGATGAAGGTGATAGGTATGATAGTGATTGACAGTAGTGGTTGACAATGGTGATGGTTGAAATGAAAGAAGTAGTTTGTAGTGGTGACTTGATATTGGCCACGGTAATGGTGGTTGTGATTGTGGCGGAATATTGGATTCCCCACTTTCTTCAACCAACACCTGTGTGAGAACACAATGTTTTGATATAAGGGTGAGGTATTGTGTTGAAGTAAAATGATTACATGTGTATTTCTATTTCCAAAGTGGAATAGTTGTTGATGGGCAATGTAAGCCCTTGGGGCGGAGCATTTATTTCCATGAATTGGACAACCCAAAATTTAGTGGCAATATAGAACACGAGAAATAATTAGGAATATTATTTCAAGTAGCTTTGGCAAGGATAGTTCAATCAATATGATAAGGAATTTAATTTTTTCAACAGATAATTTATTCCTTTATTGTCAATGATGTAGTTGAAATCTTCCGATCTTCGATTTCTATTAAAAGAAAAACCTAAATATTTATCAAATGTATCGGTGAAGAAAATGCCAGGACTAGAGGTGATAAGTTGAACAAAAATAGTGACAATTTTGAATTTGGTGCTATTGATTATTTGGCCAAAGAGGTAACTAAATTGGTCTAGACATTATTTTATAGAGTTGAGGGATTTAGTTAGCCTTAGCCATAAGAGGTAAATGTCGATGTAAAAGAGATGAGAAACTTAGAATTTCTAGAGTTCAGAGTGATGGACAATAATTCCATACATAAAGAACAATATCTACTTTATGGTTGATATAGATAGACAATAATTCCATGCATAAAATAAATATAAGGGGGCAAATGGCTTCCTTTTCGTAGGGTTAAAGAAATTTGTCTTTGATCCATTAAATAAAAATACCTATGCTACTAATGGTAATGCAGTTCATAATCATCTTAGTGACATTGAGATGGATTAATTTTAAAAAGGGAGAAGAGATTGATATACCTATTAATTTTGTCTCTCGTATACCCCTCCCTTGTTATGGAAGTGATTCAAATATACTTCTTCTTTTTTTGTCAAAAGGTAAGATTATTCAACCAAATTGCAAATATGTACAGCTGGTCCTTTTGGACTCAAGGTCCAGTCCCAGATTTCAGACCACTACTATTGATTTCGAACTATACAAAAGGATTTACTAACTACACCTTCATGGGTATCCTCGTATGTGTTTCCATCTCCTCTTCTTTTGGCCAGCTATATGTATGTAGTTCTATGGAAATCTCTTTCGGAACTACAGTTGGTGCTCTACATATCTGTTGGAACCTGTGATTGTGTCTCTCCATCCAAGTATAGTAGACAACGACATATAGAAATCCTAGGATAGTGTTTGTGGGAACAATTTTTGACAGCCACATGACCTTTTCTTCCCACGAGTGCTCCAATCTTCTTATCCCTATCCAATTCAATAGTCTACACCATATCTGAGTGGCAAAAGTGCAATCAAACATCATGTGTGATAGGGTTTTAACAGTCTGGGTATTGAACAGGACACAAGCAACATCGACCTGAATATCACATGTTGTTAATCTGTCAACTGTTGTTAATTTCTTTTGTAGCGCTAGCCATAAAATGAACTGATGTTTTGGGATCAGTCCTTTAGCCATATTAAGTTTCTTCCAGGCGACTTTAGGCAGTTGTGGGGAAAATGACTTATAGGCTTTCTTGATGTTGAACCCACCTTTATTAACGAAACTATCAAGGGCGGTTTGGTAAGGGGTTCCCGTAGCCAACCAAGATCTTGCATCCAGTATTTTCCTAACCACCCAACTCGCTTGCTTAGGTGTAGGAACATTGTCTATAGAGTTTCCTTTTATATAGAACGTATGGACCCATTGAACCCATAACTTTTCTTTCTTCTTTGCTATAGCCCATAATAATTAATTTGAGTATTGCAGCTTTGTTCCAGTGTGAAAAGTTCAATATATTGAACCCCCCACCGTCCCCCTCCCTCCCCCCTAGACTTGGGTAGACATAATGTATCCCATCCCACATAAGGGTGGCAAACGGACCGGTTTTTATCCGGTCCGGTCCGGTTCCGATCCGGTTCCCGTACCGGTTGAACCGGTAAGGAACCGGTCTTATAGGTACCGGAATCGGTACCGAAACGGAACCCGGATTTTTATCCGGTTGATCCGGTCCGGTAAGAACCGGTTCCGGTCCGGTTCAACGGTCAATTTGAAATTTATTTTTTTTTTTATTTTTTTTTTAAAAATGTGAACGTTAAAGGAGCCGTTGGGCCCTTTTAGCCGTTGGGCTGGGGCCCAAAACGGCTCCAAACAGCCCCCCCACCCCTCTCTACCCCTTAACACTATAAATATATCATATTTTTTCATTTAAATCACAAATTC